AAAATTCAATAAATGTCAGATATATTATTATTAAAATGACACATTCTATAAGAATCAAATTTGAGTCTTTTAATAGTGGAGGCAAGAACTGGTAATTCTTGCCCTTAAATTCTTCTAGAATATTGTTTCCCAAATTGTGTTCAGCAGAACGTTATCCCCATGAAATATTTCATGAATAAAAGCCTCACGGTCAGTTCTATTAGGAAAATGTGTCCAGTAAAGCCTGCTAGAGATTTACTGTGCATAATAAAGGTGAAGTGTCTGGATAGGTCAGTGAATCACATGATGGAATGTTGCCCGAGATCACTCTTGCTGGATTGTGGAGACTGAAACGGAAGGGCCAGAGAGGATGGAGGGAACACTAGCTGGGAATTGTAACAATCCAGGGCAGGGACTGCAGCGGCCTGAACCAGGGCAGAGAAGAATGATCCCCTTCCTAAGAGGAGGAGGAGAAGGGAAAGAAGAGGAAAGCGGCAATGCTGAAACCCAGGTATCTGACCCAGGTAACGGGATCAATGGTGGTGCTATCAGTGGGAAAGGAGTACCAAACACGACCAGATTAGGTCAAGATGAGTTTCACTTTGCACTAATGAGTTTGAGATGCAGACTTTCCAGAAACTTTCCATTGCAAGTGGCAGAAACTGACTAGGGTACAAAGGGAATGTATTAACTCATGTAACAGGGAAAGAGATGGGGAACTTGGTGGTGGACTCTGGGGCAAGGTCCCTTCTCCACAGGTAGCTGGTGTCATTTTCTTCCAGCTCAGCAAGAGCCCTGTACTAACCTGGCTAAGGTTTCTGATTCTAAAGAACTCTCTCAGATAAGACTGTGCCTCCAATTGTACTGACCTGGAAAACCACTTGTAATCTTGGCTCAAAATCACTTTACCCCCTGAGAGAGCCACTCATGGGGACAAACACCCTTGTTGGACTCTCAGCTGAGTCTGGGACCTGTGTGTGACACGGGGGTCTTGTGGAAGGCTGGGAAAAACTGAACATACAAAGCCTCTCAGCCTAACCGTACAGCAATACCAAATTCTCTCTACTGTTCAGTGACACCCTCAGTTGGGGTTAACCAACCTAAAAAAATGGCCGCTACAGAGTTCCAAATAAGGGTAATGGGTGAGAGAACTCTGTTTCTTGTGATCTTCCACATCTTTAAAACTCCTCCCTTTGTGGACTGAAGCTTGGAGAAGAAAAAAATAGGGATATCCATCTCTCGTGCCTCTTTCCTCCACCCTCCCAAATGCCCTGGATGGGAAGGGGTGAAGTTTTCTCTGCATCAGTATTTCTCCTCTTTTCACGTGCATCAGAAGTGCCCAGAGGCAATACATTCCCGAGCCCCGTCCCTACAGTTTCTGTTCCAGCGAGTCTGAGGTGAGAGCAGGCGATGTGCATTTCTAACTAGTTCCCCAGTGATGCGGACACGGCTGGCCTAGGGACCACACGCTGAGCTCCAGACGGGTGTGCCCCACACAATGAAAACAACTCCGTGATCTGAATCCTCTCTCTAGAGATCAGAGCTCTGTGATAGGAATCCTGTAAGCTCAGACCTTGATTTGTTAGGATCTAGACTAACTCGGTAGATCCATAATTACTCTAACACGCCTGGTTCTCAAGCCTCTATTCTTACTTTCTATTTTGCATGCCACAAGCTGGAAGCTCGGCACATTCTTGGTATTCCTTCAGCACCATGCCCAGCACACCTGCATGCAGATGGTTACAGGAGGCAGCTGAGTGAGGAGAACGTCATGAACTCAGAAAGGGGCAAAAAACACAATATTTTCAAAAATGTACCCCATTAGAGATGTGTTTTGCCACTGGAATTATAGAAAAAACTATTCTCTTCAAACAAATGAACTTTCCCCCTTCAATCAGAGTCATACAGTCCTGGTGCCTCCTCTGTTAAGCTGACACTGGAAACTCAATACTTAATCTGAGGTTCCATTCTGGCTGTTTCTTTTAGCTGAGGTTTTCTAAAAAGTTTTCCCTCCTTAACCTACCTTGTTAGTCCATTTCAATCCTGGATTGTTTCTCTCTTGCCCATTTATAAAACTTTAGGGAAAAAAAATGTTTAAGGAGGGTTACTTTTCTCTTTTATTGAAGGTTCACCAGCATGAACATCTCAAAAGTTCTCTTCATAAAAGCATCCCTTTCTCAGCTGTCCTGAAGAGACGGTAGAGGAGAAGTCTGTGTCCAAGCCCAGCTGTATGTGAGAGTAAAGCCCTAACTCAGGAGGGTGGTATTGGGGATAATTAAAGGAGAGACTCTGCTCAGATGAGAGATGCAAAAACAGAAAAGGATATTTGGACACTGATTGGACAACTGTCCCTCCCATAGCTGAAGCACACCAGAGAAGGGGATTTGGGGAGGAGGAAGCAGAGAGGTAATCATAATTGGGAGAGTTTGAGGGCTTCCTCCACAAGTTCCTCTACCCCCAAAATGATCCTATCCCCCAACCATCAATAGTTTTTCATTCAGTTTGTTATTTTGTCTCCAGATGTACCCTTATAAGTGCCTACAGCCTTGAAAGGTGTGCACATCTGGAAAAAGAATGTTTTGATAAGACAGAATGTTCTTTCTGATAGAGTGGAAGAGAATGCAGTTCATGACTGCTCCCCAGAATGGATCAACCCCTGCTCTGGGCTTCCCTGGAAAAGCAGAGACACATCAGGTACCTCAGGCATTACTGAGCTGCAGCTGCTTCTCAAAGTAAAGCATTTCAGCGACAATCAACACCAGAATCCCAGTGCTATGGACCGGGGTTCTATTCGCATCTTGGAATCCTGACCTTAGAGTTGTGCAGTGCACACAAACTGGGCGGCCATATGGGGCAGCCTAAGTCCTACGGAAACCAAAATAAATCAGCACAAGGAGAAGACGTAGAACGCTCCCTCAGAGCTCCATCTCTCCCATTCTGCACGGAATGAAGCTTCTCTGTGAAACTGCTTAATCTCCAGACTCGCCAAGCTGGACAAAAACAAGCATGTTCTTCAAAAGCCTGAATTTATGAGGTTAACTGCCAGAACTGCACACAGCCTTCAGGCTAAACAAGGAGAAACACATGCAGCCTTCAACTGCGGCTCTTGCTCACCTCAAGCTTTTAAGGACAATCAGAAGAGCTGAAGACCAGCAGGAAAAAAAAATGGGGAGGTTTCCAACCAGTCCTAGCAAGAGCCTCCTCCCAAAGGGCTTCCACAGCTTTGCCACCTTCCCACGGAGGCGGAGGAGCTCCAGTGGGTGTCCTGCCGCCTCCACCGACGGGCTCTCACCACGTGTCCACAGAAGGCCACCTGTGCTCTATTTTCTTCAAACACAACACAGCAATATGGTCATTAAAAGCCTATACAAAGACGGCTGTGGGGCGCCCGGGGGAGGGGGGGCACAGCCGTTAAGCGTCTGACTTGGTTTCAGCTCAGGTCATGGTCTCCCTGTTCCCGAGTTAGAGCCCTGTGTCAGGCTCTGTGCTGACAAAGTGGAGCCTGCTTGGGATTCTCTCCCTCTTTCTGTCCCTTCCTCGCTCTCACTCTCTCAAGAAATTAAAAAAAAAAAAAAAAAAAAAAAACGACAGCTGTGCCAACAGGCAGGTGGTTTTCCCAACTTTGTTGTAAATTAGCGTTTGTGGGCAAGTGGCTCCTCTCTAGGCCCCAGGCCCTTTGCCCGAAGCCTGGGCGATTAGACTCGGTGCTGCCCGAGGGTCCATCCGGCTCCAGCACTGCAGCGGCTCTCCCATTATTAGCGACACAAAGCCTATCACCCCTTCTCTGATGAAGGCGAGGCCCGACCATGTGTCCTACGAGGCCCCTCGAAGGCAGCAGAGCGCCGCCTCTGACATGGTCTTGTCTACAAGGTCGTCACAAACACCGTCTTCGATGTCGTTTGCTGAAGCATCAGACGCCAAATGCATGCAGAGAATGAAGTCTACCGTCCATCAGTCCGGGACAGTCTTGTGGGCAGGGCACGGCTCTGCCGCTGCCGCGCACAGGGAGGCGGCTCTGGGACGCTCCCGGACGCCGACGCGACGCAAGCAGGCGCGGGTTGCCCTCCCGCCGCACCTCGGCCGCCCCCTCCCCCACCAGCCCTCGTGTTCCCACCCGGGTTAACACGCTCTGGGCTCTGCGACAAGCGCGACAAGCTGGGGGCAGGGCCCACTGCGGCTGGCCCGGGAGACAACAAAGTCACCCGGGAGACCAGGGACAACCTCACCGAGGCGACCAGGGACAAACTCGCCCAGGAGACAACGGACACACTCGCCCGGAAAACAAGGGGCAAAGTCGCCCCGGAAACAAGGGACAAATTCTCCCAGGAGACCAGAGTTGCCCGGGGACACACCCGCCCAGGAGACAACCCACAAAGTCACCCAGGAGACGAGGAGCACACTCGCCCGGGAAACAAAGGACAAATTCGCGCAGGGGACCAGAGGCACCCTCGACCAGGGACGAGGCAACGGCAGAAAGAACCCGTGCCACCTCGACGTGAGAGGAAATGACGCACACTAGAAAGTTCTTTTCAGCGCCTCGGGCCCTACCTCGTCCATTTTCCGCTGCTTGTGAGAGGAAACGGGGCTGCTCCGGGGAGACGCCGGCTCCTCCCCGTTCCTCCCGGGCTCCGGCGTTTCTGGAAGCCGCCACGCTGCCGCCTCTGGACTTCCGGCCCCGCCGGGCCTCTGCGGCCGGAGCCCCGCCCCAGACGCTTTCCGAGCTCTCGCCGACGAGGCTGCAGCAGTTCCGGGGTTTGAGGCGCGGCCCGGCTCGTCCTGCTGCACGAGGCTCCGCAGAGGTGACCGTGGGCCGAGCCGGGCGCCCGTCCCTCCCCACGCCGACCCTGCAAGGGCAGTTCCGCCCGCCACGCCCACAGCCCGAGCCCTCGTGGGAAGCGTGTGCCTGAGGCTCCGCGCGCCGCGCCCGCCTCAACGCAGCCACGGCCTCGTGGTAAACGTGCCGGATTCCGGCGGGCGGGCGCAGGGACTTGTTCGCCTTGATGCGCAAGGCAGGCCGGGAAACGTCATACCCGCCACCTAACGGTGCGGAGTGGCCATCGCGTTCTTGCGTCACCCCTTTCCCCACCCCGTCCTCCGTGTACAGGGGGCAGTTTCAGGTTTCTGGACCAGCGTTTGTCTTTACAACAACCCGTAAGGTCAGAACGGCGCTCGACCCCACTCGGTAAAGATGAACCGTCAGAGAGGTGAATTAGCCTGATGGCACGCAGCTGGTAGGCAGAGCTGGGTTCAGAACCCAGGCGGTTTGGGGACCGAGCCTGCGCCAGCTGCTTCTCTACTACACGGTAAGCCCGACCCCGCCACCCCCTAGCTTCCATGCTCTTCTCCCCAGAACTCGGGACTTAACAGGCTCCAGAAAATCCGGACCCAATCCTGATCTCAGGCAGACGGTGGAAAGGGGATGTAGGTGAGTTTATACATCTACTTAAAACTGAGACACCCTTCCCTCTGGCTCTACCTTGACTGTGTGCCCCAGATGTACAACGAAGCTCCAGATTTGTTCCCGGGGGCTGAGCACCTTGTAGGTTAAGTACTATTTACACAGGCCTTCACTCATTCATTGCACAACTACATTTGATTGTCTACTACATACCAACCATAAAAAAGAGAATGCAACCAATTAACTGATATGTTACGTCCATTTTACGGATGGGACAATGGATGCACTCCATCATGTGCCCCAGGAGACCACCGTGATCTACTTCATTCAAACACAGCATCAGCAAAATTGTCATTAAAGGCCTAGATAAAGCCAGGCTTTATTAAGCCTCATTCCTTAAAAGGTTAAATCACTTGTCTGCTGTTCCACATCTAGTAAATAAGTAAAATTAGCATTTGATTCTGAGTCTTCCTCTTTCTGAGATTTGGGCCCCTGCTTGCTCTTGCCAGTCCCCTCCTCCACTTGATCCCCAGCATCACAGTTCTCTAATTCTTTGGGTGTCCTACAATCCACTTCTTACACTAAGTACCAGAGTTAGCATAGACCCCACCGGTAAAGGACTCAGTCCCACAAAAACACAGGTCCCAGAATACCTGCAGTTTTGTCCAGTTGATTATAAATTTGGGAGCTTCCGTGGGTCACATTCACATTTGATAATTCACTAAAACTACTCACAGGACTCAGGAAAACTCTATACTGAGGATTGCAGTTTTATTATAAAGAATACAACTCAGGAACGGCCAGATGGAAGAGATGCATAGGGCGGGGCATGGGAAGTGGGGACGGGGTGCAGAGCTTCTGAGACCTTCTCTGGGTGCCTCACCCTCCCAGCACGTCAACACAATTATAAACATGGAACTCCAAAACCTTGTTGTTCACATGTTTTTGTGGAGGCTCCTTTCACAGGCCTGAATGATGAAGTCTTTGGCCACTGGGGATTGAACTTTTTCCCCAGAGGTTAAGAAGTGGGCAGAAAATTCCAACCCTGATCACCGTGTTAGCCAGCCCCTCCTGTGAACTATCTGAGGAGGCACCTGGCTGGCTCAGTCAGAAAAGCCAGTGACTCTTGATCTCAGAGTTGTGAATTCAAATCCCACATTGGGTGTAGAGATTACTAAAATAAATAAAGAAAATTAAAAAAAAAAAAAAAAAAAAGGAGCCTGGGTGGCTAGTCAGTTCAGCATCTGACTCTTGATTTTGGCTGAGGTCATGATCTCATAGTTTGTGGTTCAAGCCTTGCATCAGGCTCTGGGCTGGCGGTGTGGATCCCACTTCGGATTCTCTCTCTCCCTCTCTCTCTCTGCCCCTCCCCTACTCACACTCTCCCTTTCTCTCTCTAATAAGTAAACATTAAGAAAAGGAAAGAAAACCTGAAATAAGTCAGGCAGAGAAGGACAAATACCATACGTTTGCATATATAGGTGGATTAGGAGGAAGTTAACGGAGGACGAAACGGGAGAAGAAGGGGAAACATAATTGGGGAGAGGGAGGGAGGCAAACCATGAGAGACTTGAATGCCAAGAACAAACTGAGGGCAGATGGGGGTCAGGGGGGAGGGGTGATGGGCATGGAGGAGGGCACTTGATGGGATGAGCACTGGGTGTTATATGTAAACCAACTTGACAATAAACTATTAAAAAAAAAAGAAAAACTATCTTTGGGGCTGCCTTGAGCCATCTATGGCATAAAATCAAGTATGGCAGAAAGAGGCTCTTTATGAATAACAAGTCCGATCACTCAGGAAACTCCAAGGGTTTCTGAAGCCCGTGCCAGAACCTGGGGCCAAAGACCATGAATATTTTTTCATTATACCCCAGTACCCAGGACTCACAGCCCAGGACTGAAACTGAGTTACCTGCCATCAGTCTTCCCTTAAGGGAGCCTCCTACCCGGGTCTCTGGGTGTCCTGACTGGCTCCCCCATCACTATAGTCTGCACACCTGTCCGGCAGCCTGGCAGCTTCCCTGGAAGCTCTGTGACTACTGGCCGAGTAATCACAGTCAGCGGGGCCCGCCCCCCTCGCCGAAAGCCTGCCTCACTCCAGGGACGCAGTCTCCCTCCAGCACTCACCCCATCCCAAGTCTGTGCCTGTGGGAATTGTGTCCCATCCTGCCAGATAGCTGCGTGACCCAGACGCACCCGAGGGGTGTTTGACTGTGCCAGTCATGGGCATGGCAGGCCCCAGGCTTTGGCACTGAGGAAGTTTGGGAAAGAATTGGGTCAGTGTGAATCACAGCAAGAAAAGTCTATAGGGTATTAGATTTAGAGAATATTACTCTGCAGCGTTATTAGAACACCTCTCTGCGTGCGCTAGGCCTGTATCAGAGTTTCCATTATAAATCCTATTTCCAAAGGTTTATGACTTGCTGTAAAAAGTCAGTCAAGGCTGAAAAGCAGCATAGTGAGTTTGCAATCCGGGAAGCAGTTTGATTCAAAGAAAGCATAAAAAATTGAGAAGAAACAAACAAATAAAAATGAGAAAAAGGAAACAGATTGTTTAAAAAAAAAAAAAAAACAAAGATAGCTAGAGCATTTGCCCTGCATTTCCGTCCTCCTGTGACTTAATAATTTTGTTTTCAGATTTGAGCTCTCACAGATTCCTAACTCCCATATGCAAAGAGGCCTGTGAGGACGGGAAGCATTTAGCTCCATGATGTGCTTTCCTATTGGAAAAGTGGGTAGCAGGGTCCTCTGGGGAACCAGAGCCCCCCTGCATTCAGGAAATCTCTTGGGGAACATACATCTAATCTTTACTGGTCCGGTAAAAGGCAGGGAAGGTACAGTAAGTTTATACTCTCTGATGAATAAAGGCAAGTTATAGTCCAATTATTTCCTGAAAACAAAGTAACTATCTATAGCATTCTTTGGTACCCTCTAGGCCCCCAAGACTTCCATATATCTGTGATGATTTATCCAGTTATAATTTCATCATGACGTGGCCCAAGAGATAGTTGGCGCTTTTGCCAGAATTACCCCTAATTCACCCCTAAACAATCTGTTTGGAGGGATGGCAGTCTACTTAGAAGGAGAAAATAGGGAACTTGTCTTGACTATAATTACATATTCAGCAATACTATACTACTACCACTTAAATTGTTGGGTTATTTAAGGGAGATTTAAGAAAGACATGTGGAAACTCATGTCTGTCAAATTCTCAGTGCTGCAAAAGTGAGATTCTGCCTTCAGGGAGGTGGTTTGATACTCACCTCTGACCTCAAGTAGAACGGTTGAATAAAAGAACAAGGAATGGAATTTGTTTTCATTAAGCATCTCTGCTGTGTTAGACAGCATGCCAGTTTTTTATATATTATTTCATGAACCTTACATAAATCCTATGATATTGATATGCATTATCTACGCTCCTTTAAAAGATGAGGAAATTAACAGAGGTTAAACCACAAACAAAATGGCTGAGGTGAGATTGAATTCCAAAGCCCTGGATCCTTCCACATCAGCTCTGAGCAATACTTCAGTGGGCAAATTACAGAATTGAAATGAGTCTGAAGGGTGCCTGGGTGGCTTAGTGGGTTAAGCTTCCGACTCTTGACCTCAGCTCAGGTCTTAATCTCAGGGTTGTGAGTTCAAGCCCCATCGTAGGCTCTGCATTGGGCATGAAGCCTATTTAAATATTTTTTAAAAAAAAGGAAATGAATTTAGGTCTGGAAGTTTCATGACGTTATCTGGGGTACAACTAGGGAGAGGCCCACTAATCACCTGCATAAAGGAAGGCAAACTTTAATTACGCTAATTCCTCAAATCTAGAAAACTAAGCTTAATTTCAGAAAATAAACGGCTTCTGGGACTGTAAAAAAAAAAAAAAGCATCATTTTATACATGAACAATCTTAAAGTGAACTCTGACAGCTACGAGCTTCCCACTTTTAAAGGCGATGCTGGTAATTAAGCTGTTGTCTCTCTGCCTCTGAGCCTCGCTGCTAAACTCTATGCTTCTGGAGCCGAAAGCCCACAAACTTTAGTTCTGTTTTGCCAGCCGATGGTCGGCTAGGGTCTGCCTATAGGGGGTGCTATCACGGAGATCGGAAGGCTGCAGGAAGGAGAAGATTCTGCTTCCGTTTTTGCTCTGTACCTACAGTAGTAGGTTTCAAATGCTTCCCACGCTCCCAGAAGCAGCCGTACACGCCAGCACCAGCCGGATGTCTGATGCCCCTGCTCCGAGATTCTAGAGTCTAATAATCCCAACCTCACCGCTCTGTTCCCGCAGCTGCAGAGGAAGTAGCTTCTTCCTGAAGCTGCTATACCAGTTATCTCAGCATTCCCTTTTGCCTTTAAATACCTAAATGCCTTTTTAACAAGTTCCTTTTATTAAATCCTCTATTAACATAACATGTGGTTCATTTTTCCTTCATGGCCCTGACCGACACAAAGTCCTCTGAAGGAAGCTTCTTAAACTGCTTCGAAATTCAATTCTCTTTGCTGACTGGAAAGTTTTTTAATTGTGCCATATTACAAATTAACCTAAATCATTTGTATATATATATATATATATACACACATTATATTATATATGAAAATATTCATTACATTATATAAATATCATTGTGTTATATATATGGAAAAATCATTACATTATATAGATATCATTATGTTATATATAGGAAAAAATCACTATGTTATAAAGATATCATTACGTTACATATTTACAACTAATACAATGTCATATGTCAATTATATCTCAATAAAAAATATATTTTTTATATACTGTCTCCAGCATTTACTTACTATGTGATGTTAAGCATGGTAACTTAACTTTTCTAAGGCTCAATTTTGTCACATCTAATATTAATGTCTACCAGTTATTGATTTTAATCATTAATTAACATCTACT